TGCGAAAAAATAAAAATAATTAGCCTTGTTCTCTACCCCTTATGAATCTCTCCTTCTCTTGTTATAGTAACAATGGGGATTCTTTAAAGTAATGTTATTCATAATGAAGATTATAAGTAATCGTCCTATGTGATATGCATGTGACGGTTGTTATTTGATTCATTAATATCAAATAATAAAATGTCACATATATATCACGTAAGACGACTATCGACGGTTTTTACTGTGAATAACATTATTCATAAAAATAGTAAGCCATTGTTTGGATCTCATTATAATGAAAACTTTGGGGGTAAAAATAATTTAATTTGGAATAATAATTTTTTTTTAGAATGTGTAGTTAAAAAAGAATGAAAAGTTTTGAATTTAAGTGTAATATTATTTTATTGGAGAATGTACAGTTGATAAAAAGAAAGAAAAATGAATTCTAATTTTAATGTAGGCCAAAAAGGGGTTAAACCATATATCAGTCAATTTGAATGATGAAAAGTAATTATCAGTTTGACAATAAAAATTTATCTTTGTAAAAAATAAAGTCCATTATAAAAAAACTAATGTTATTTATCATTTTAATGATAAAATATCGGTGATATGACAATTTAAATAGAATAATGAAATATGACAATTCAATCTCCCACTCTCTCTCTCACAAAGATTGAAATATACTTCTCAATATTTTACCTAAATTGTCATATCATCGATATTTCATCATTATAATGATAAACATTTATCATTACAAAATGCTTTCACTTGAAAGTCTTTAGTCTATTCATTTTTTAATTACTAAAAATAGTCCTCGTTTGGCCATATTATTTGAGATTTTAATTTTGGGAAAAGTTTTTTTTTTTTAATGGGTGGTTGTAAAAGAAAGAAAAAATTTCGGTTTATATGTAATATTATTTCATTGTGGAATGTATGGTTGAAAATAAGAAATAAATGTATTAAAATTTTAATAGAAGCACAATGGAAAACTAAAAAAAAAATTGGTTGCTAGACTTAGGGTTTCTTTGGGAAAGATTATTTTTAGAGAATGCATAATTAAAATATAAAAAAAATTATAATAGAATTAATTGTTAAAAATGATTTTGAAGAAAAAATATTTCAAAAAAATCTCTAAAAAAACCACATTCGGAACCCGAATCCGAAAAACCTCCAATATATCGATCCCGGTGAGGCAGTGCCTCAAGGAGAAAGACAAGATAGGCAGAAATGGCGTCAAATGCAGCAGTGCCGTTTTGGAGGGCGGCAGGGATGACTTACATAACCTACTCCAATCTGTGTGCAAACCTGGTGAGGCAGTGCCTCAAGGAGCCCTACCGCTCTGAAGCCTTGGCCCGAGAGAAGGTCCACTTTTCCGCCTCCAAATGGGTCGACGGCAAACCCCAGAAACCCAGTAATCTATTTTCCTCTCCCGATTAATCTCTCGTTTTTAATTCTATACAGTAATATTTGTTCTGGAGATTCAGATCTTTTGGGTTTCTTCATAAATTTTAGTTGAATTTTCGTTTTTCCGTTTTCTAAGAATTTGAAATATCATTTTTCGAATCTAGTCTTTATAAATAGCTATTCTTGATAAGATATTGCTTTGTGATTTTAAATAGATTATTCGCTGTATATGTAAAATGAACTAAATTGTTTAGCGATCTTGAATGAATATGAAATGCATATTGTAGCTTGTTTGGGGGAAAGTTTCTGAGATGGGAATATGGGGATGCTAGCAGTAGTTTGTATTATAACAGTGGCATTATGTGCAAGAAATTGCATACAACTGTATTGCTATTTGAAGGAAATAGAAAAAATCTTTGAAGGCTGCCATTTTTTCGGGGCTCTCTTTGTTTTTGCTTGTTTTCTTTGAGAACTGAATATTATTTGTTAGGTATTATTATGATTGCAATAAAACAGAATGAAAATTGGAAACAGTCAAAGTGAATACACAAATTCATGGTAGTACACTTTCTGCCCTTGCTTGAGCCCCATTTTTCAATAATACATTTTTTCCAAACTTATTTTCAACCACATATTCTCCGAATCAAATAATTTTACACGTAAATCCAATTTTTTCCTACTTTTCAACCCCACATTTTGCAAAAATCACTATTACAAAATCCATTTTTACCAAATAATGGGGGCTCAAAGAAGGGCTCAATGTGAGACTGACTTCTAATTGTTATGCAGATTTTTACTATAATAGAGTACAAGAGCAGAATGTCTTTCTCCTCACACCTCTCATATGCCCAACATTAGCCCACTAGAAATATTGTGTCGACCTGTTGCATGTATTGAGTACTTCATATTAGGCCTATGGTAAAGGGATAACTGTACAAGATGATAGGCTCCATAGAGTAAATCTTGATGAAATATGAAACTTTTCTGGCTAGTTTTAGAAAAGTAATTTTTTGTATTTCTGGTCATATAGATGTCCTATAGACATAAATGTAACGATTGCAGGCATGTAAGGATTTGATTTCTTGGTAATTGAATTTAATCTTTGGCATTATCACCACCATCATTTGTTTTACTTAACAAATGATCATGGGTAGATTATTTCTAGTGCGAAGAAGCTCTAGTAAGTTTGACATAAAAATGTCTCTGTTCATGCTTTTGGTTATTCTGTTGAGTAGAAAAGTGGCATTTTGATAAGATATTTATGGTTTTTCTTGATAGCGAGGAGTTGGATTGAAATTTTGGTAATGGCTCACTTCCTGTTGAAAAATTGAATGTCAAAAGACTTGAATGAGATATGTTAAATTGGTATTAAAAACTTGCACGGTTTTACATACTAGTTGGTCACCTGCCTCATAGTGTGGACGCCAGAACAATTTTACTACTTTGTGATCTGAAAATCACTCAAATATTTTTTTTCTTATTGTTTTTCTTGTTAAATTAACATTTATATTGTTGTTCCCCGAGACTTCAAAGTTGTACTTGATTGTTTAGTTATTTGGTGAGGTGGTGGGTTGGTTGGACTTAGTAGTTCCTTTCCACAAGCTAAAATCTTTATGCTCATTAGTTTTTATTTATTGCTTTCAAATGAGTGTATCTGTGGTACAATATAAGGCATCCTAATGTGATTTTCGTCAGTGTGTTGCATGTGTAGTTCATATTTGACACGTACTATTTTGCAAGATTAGACACGAAAAGATTTTAACTTTACAGTCATGTACTTTCTTCTTTTGGCGTTATGTTTGTTTTATTTGTTTGTCGTCATTTTGATATCTACTGACAAGTTTAATTTGCTTTCTTCTAATCAATTGTCATCGACGTGTTCTCAGCCATTCGATCCGATACCGGGGAAGAATGAGGGTGGACATAGAGCGTTTAGTGCTTTACGAAGCTTATTCCTGCTGGAGGTCTTCGTTTTATTTTTTTCCGTACCTTCAAACTTTTGGGGCTATGAACTATTGCACATCAGACAGTTGTCTGCTGAGTTTGCACTAAGTCTCACATGTAATAATGTAACTTTTGTGACCCAGTTTGTACTGCTCTTTTGCTGTCTCTGAATAATGGTTTTTCTTGTTTCAACTCGGAAAGCTCCTCACCATTGTGATTCTTAAGCAGGGAATATAACACCATGCCAACTCACTTTATCGGTCTTTTTGCAGAAGCCATTTTAACTTTCAGCATCATCGACCTTGAAACTTCCACAATCTCAGCTCATGAGGTTGTTGCCGCGACTAGTCTAGACCGATGATCTATACCACTACCCTCTTCATCTTCGTGGCTTTGACAATGGCCAAGTTTAAATGCACCTTTTGGACACATTTTCTTTTAATCCACTGTGAAAGCATAAGATTAGGAGATGAATAAACGTAAAAATTACACTTATTAGTAATGGTAACTAAATCCTTGTTTTTAGTTAGTTGATAGTGGCATCAACAAAATCACCTCGCTCAAGAGAAGCACACTTGGAGAATGGCAAAGAATAGTTTAGGCGACGTTAATGTGGTATTAAATGATAGGTGAAATTAAATAATTCGATTAGTTTCTCACCATTGTGATTATTAAGCAGTGAATATAACATCATTCCAACTCACTTTATTGGTTTTTTTGCGAAAGCCATTTTAACTTTCAGTTTCATTGACCTTGAAACTTCCACGATCTCAACTAATGAGGTTGTTACCTCGACTAGTCTAGACGGATGTCGGATGATCTACACACCCACTACCCTCTTCGTCTTTGTGGCTTTGACAATGGCCAAGTTTAAATGCACCTTTTGGACACATTTTCTTTTAATCCACTGTGAAAGCATAAGATTATGAGATGAATAAATGTAAAAATTACACTTATTAGTAATGGTAACTAAATCATTGTTTTTTGTTAGTTAATATCAACAAAATCATATCGCTCAAGAGAAGCACACTCGGAGAATAGCAAAGAATCATTCAAAGACAATCTTAACTTCTGACTAGAAGGTCCTTCATTTCTATTATAAGTAATGTTATTTAGCTTCACTGAGGTTATAACCACAGTTTAGGTGGTATTAATGTGACATTAAATTATATGTGAAATTAAACATTTAGCGCCACCTAAACTGAAATTGTAACCTCAGTGGGGTTACATAACATTACTTTTCTACTATTTTACAGTTCCCCTCGATAATATGCAAACGTGTTGAGAGCTTGATATAAATTGTTAAAATAACTTTGTTTCATATTTTCTGAATCTTATTCTCCTTTTCAAATTGTTGATAAGTAGTTTTAAGCACAACTAAACAGGCCATGTTTCCCTGGTTCAACCAAAATCCACATTAAGGAGACAATTTCAGTGAAGTTGGATGAAATTATTACCCATATTTTTAACATTGAAGATATAATTCTTACAAAATCTCTGAACATATCACTAATCAGAAATTATTAAATTCTGGCAAAGAAGAGGGATGAGTCCTTTTAATAATTGCAATTATTGTTTTCCTTTCCTTTTGATACAAGGGAATAATGTCAGAATGAGATTATGCTAACATTTCTATCTATTGGGTTAGCTACATTATGTTGTAGAAATATTCAATATTTTGTTAGGTTTTCTGTGATATCATGAAATGGAGTTCCCGGTTCTGTTGTAGAGATACTTTCTTGAGAAAACACTCCTTCAGGGTGATAAAAAGTGCTGATTGTTGGACTTTGTGGAAAGTCGTACATATCTACTGGAGAAACTGCAATCGATGCAGCTGCTCTGTCCCCTTCATCTATTCCACCATGTTTTTTGGAACCTTCAGATGACTTATTGTTATCCTCGTCAAAGATTTTTGCTAGTAAAGAAAGCTTTTGCGTGATGGAAGTGTCTGAGGCTAAGATGAACCTGTTCTCGTAAAAGAAGATGGACAAGTATATGACGAGAGCACATGATGATGATACACCAGCAGTAAGAAAAAGGCCCTTGAAGCTATCGAGAGTGAGACTACCGGAGGTAATCACAGTTCCATCTTTCCCGGGACAACCTTCTTCCTCACCAAACCATTCTCTTGATATTCTCACCATTTTCTCTCCCTCTGTCACATTCAAAATTGCTCTTGAAAACTCAGGGACTAGGGGAGAACCCTTTGGAAATGCCTGAGAATTTCCAGGAAAAAATAGATTATAGCACGAATCTAATGAAATATATACTGAGAAAGCTATATTGCGAGAATAAGAATATGGACATTTCAAAAGTCAGAAACCATATGGTGTCAAATTGCAAGAAAAGTGAAGATTCAGAAACTTTGAGGAATTTGAGAATAGGGACTTACAAATCCAAAGCCAGCGGCTTTGTAGGTTGGACCAACCATGGCGTACTTGCGGCAATGCTTAGCAAGGAAAGGCCTAATATAAGGAATTTCATCAACAATTGCAGCAACTCCACCATTTCTGCTACCTCTGGAAAGGGCTTCGTCGTACTCCTCGTAAGTGCTATAATTTCTAAATTTGGAGCCATCAAACTTCATGCCAATCAGGAGTCCAGGAATAAAGGAACCACTTTGGTAGCCAACGTATTCTCCATTTTTTATCAGATCGTAGATATCAGTTATAGTAGGTTGAAGCTGTTGTACGGTTAACATGGATGTTAAGTTGGCTGTGTAACTTGATGTCAGTACAAGAACCACGAACACCCATACAATAACCACAAATCTTGATAAGTTGCTTACTACTTTCTCCTCTGTCATAAGTAACATTTGATGCAGTGGATATTTAGTTTCTGCTGAGATGGATTAAAGATTTTCGATAGACATAATATCGTTAATTGAAGTGGAATAAGGACTTACTATGGGCGAAAACAAGTGTTGAGAAGGAGAACCAGAAGATCATTCCAATTTGTTGGGAAGGTGGACCTCTAAATTCTTTGTTCACACGATGCTCGATAACCCAAACCACGGATCCAGTGAAGATGAAAAATCCTCCAATTGTTAACCAGAGGTCCTTTGTAAGAGGTTTCATGAAAATCCAGGCATTCTTCCTCTCATCATTCTTGATTGGTACAATTGTTGACACACCAGATTCTGTGAAAGGTAAGGTGAAATCGACGAACCTGGATCTGTTGGCTACAATGGTCACGTCTCCAACAACTGCATCATATTTCTGTCATTGACAGGAATGTGATAAATAGATACAGATGGTATACATACACTGATACACAGCATAAAAAAAAACTCGATTCTTAGCTTTCGGATTACCTTGAGAAAGATCTGGTAAACAAGTTCATCGTAAGTTCCAGCACTATGACCATCATAGGTTGCGAAAGGAATAAATTCGTATGAGACAAAGTAAGGCAATGCATTTATCACTTCTTTGAACACATCCATGCAGAAACCAGTTGCAATAACTTCATTTCTTTCAGGGTCCTTTTCCACTTTTACAAATTCACTGAACCCTCTTTTGACAGGAATTCCGATTCTCAACTTCTTCCCACCAGATGGCATTTGCCAGCCTCTCGGAATAACTCCAGTCTCACCTGGCCAAACTATGGCTGTAAGATCATCCTTGTCAGTCGAATACACAGCTTTACCATGCGGTTTAATTGTCTTCGAAATGCCATGTTGTTCAGTCCAGTATCCAATTCGCCTTTCTCCTTTACCAATTACATTCACAATCTCATATGCAGATGGCTGTAGTTGTCCATCAGTGATGTGGAAATCGCCACTTAAACCTTTGAATCTAATATTCCTAACTGATTCAACAAGTGTTGGTCCCATATTTGAAGTTCCAATTGCATCCAGGTCTGTCGAGTTCTCTCTAGTCACTGGTTTTTTAAACTGCGGGACAACAGTACCAACTTTGTCCACAGCTGTTGCCAATGCCATAACCGTGTCATATGCCAACAGCCCATAAACATTGAGATCAAGTCTATCCATGTCTGGATTCTCATCGTGGAATTTCTTTCTCCATCTTCTAGTGAAGTAGTCGAGTTCATTAGATTTTGGGATATGAGCCTTCACCCCTATTACGCCTTGCATTGCATCAATAACCATTGAATCCACAGAATCCAAGAGACTCGTCAGTACATCAGCAATGATCCAGGCATATCCCTCGGTCATCATTTCTGCTTCTTTTGCCCTCAGAAAAAAGCGCGAAGCAAGACACGGTAGCATGTGCACAACAAAAACCCGAGTCTGCATAGTCTTTAACTTGTAAAGTTCTTGAAGTATTTGATCATCTGTAGCTGAAGGAGATACAATACTTTGATAGGGGACGAAAGCATCGATTTCTAGCATGGCATCAGTCAAGAAAGGTACTATTCCACTACCATAATTGTTATCCTGGTATATGAATATTACTTCCCTCCACCCAAAGGCTTTAACAATTCCAGCAATGGCTTTAGCCTGGAAGGATGAACACTGTGCTGATCTGATGAAGTACCCAGATTCTTTGGGAGACAGAGAAGGAGTTGAAGATGGAGAAATTATTGGAACTTTCACTTTGTTTCCTAGATCGATTACAAAGTCTGCTTGTGTTGATCTTTGAGGCCCGAGTATCGCCTGTACTTGGACGTTTTTCAGCAGGTCTATGGCTGCAGTAAATGCCAAACAATTAAACCTTAGATTTGTTAATCAATCAATGCAAATTGGAGTCAAGTTTTGAATATGGAAGATGAAAAGAACAGACAATGAACTTGCCTGCAGATGCTGCATCAACATCGTCACTCTTGGAATTCCTCAGGTGAGTGACAATTCTTGTGCTGTAATTGTGATTGGCATAGAAATCTTCAATTGCCATCGACATGCAAGTCCGGCTTATTATTCCAACACGTGTGTCCAAATCGAGAATTATCCCAACATCAACCTTTACAGCAGTTGCATTCTCGCCATCCAATGGTGCAATGCAAAAGCTTATGATGAAAAGAACCACATAAAGCCCAAAGAATATTGGATTTTGCATAGAAGAAGGTAGTTTGAGCTTGATGCAAATGGCTTGATATTTCGAAAATGGAAAATTATATAAGAATTTCAATGAGGTAGTCGTTCTGATATTCATGGGCTTGAATATGCTCAAGCGGTAAGAATAATATAAGGTGATAAGTCATGCAAAGAGTTTGCTATGTAGTCAAAAATTTCAGAGTTAAAATATGGAAGATTGACAATTTCTTCCTCCCATAAAACTTCAATCGTGTTCGTTGGATCAGGTACATGTTGAAACCTACTTTTCCAAGGGATGATTGCAGCCAAGGTACCAAACCTTTTACTTAGTAGTAGACTTAGCTCAAACCTTTCATTTGTGCCACCGTAGTTATCAAACCTTTAAAAAATTCATAAGTCGAGTCTAAACTGACGGAAATTGTTAGTGCGACCGTTAATTGACCAAGAAATGGAAAATTTCATAATTTTAACCCAATAAAATAAGGGCATTTTAATCAAAACACATTTACCCTTCTACAAAATTATTTTGGGTAATTATATTACCACTACAAATTTTAGTAAGTACACCACATTTTTTTTTATTTACTTAAATATCATTAGGTAAAATTATATAATTAGGATTTTAGTATACTTTTTTATTAAATAAATTATTGTTACACCACAAATATTAAATCTAATTTCTTTCTATAGTTATTTCGGCGGCTTTTGCTTTCTTCAACGAAAGCAAGATAATTTTCTTTTCTTCACGGTAAATGAATTTATTTTACACCACAAATATAAAACCTAATTTCTCTATTTCTTTTTCCTCAACATCTCATTGCTCATGGCTTTTCCAATGGCTTTTGCTTTCTTCCAAGGCGATAAGATAATTTTTTTCCTCACAGTAAATGAATTTATACTCTATTTGAGAATGATTTACCGAATATTTTTTTTCAATTTATTTGTCAAGTTTAGAAATTAAGAATTTGATTTTGTGTTAATTCAAGCAAATTTATTATGAATTTAAAACGATGAGAAGTGTGTTGTGTGCAAGTCTATCCTGTTTATCCCAATCTTGAATTCCTTTCTGAATCAACTCATCAAAACTGTCATAATTAGGAAGATAACCCCTAGGCACTTTCATTTCCAAGTTAAAGTCTTCTTGAAGCATTCCTTTAGAAATTACATGTATTTGCTTTCAAAAAAAACCAAAATGAGGGGAAAGGTTGAGAAAAATGAGGATTAATATTGGGTGATAAGTACACCACAATATTGTATTCTTTTTTTTAATTTTTTGATTTTATTGAATTGGGAGTATAATTATAAATTTGTTGTGGTGTTTTTTTTAATTAAAAATATATTTTAATTATGGTATAATTATAATGTGGTGTAGTAATTAAAATTTGTAGTGATAATATAATTACCCAATTATTTTTCTTTCTTCTCCCCATTCGCCCCCTCCATTGCAGAACCATCACCCAGCAATCAACGGCGTTGCACCACCACCGCAAATTGTACCCATCTTCACCCACCGCGCCGCTGACGGGGACTGTGCCGTTAAAGATTTGGGGGGAAAATTGATTAAATAAAAAAAAAAAAAAATGAAAGTAACTAGTTTATAATCAAATCCAATCACCCAATTGGAAACCAAATTTAATACAATGATGTTCTATGTTGTCTAGTGAAAGCAGATGACTGGGTTTAGTGAGTACGAGGTTCGAAATTCAGGACTATGCTGAAATTTTCTCCAATTCGCAGCATAGGTCATTCATTCCGACCCTCGATCTTTTAGGTCTGGACGAATGTGTCGGGTCTGGTGATTTACTGTGGTGGCACGACACCAGTGATGGATGGGTGATTGTCGTCGGCACGATTAGTGAATTGTGGTTTAAGTTCTATGATGGAGCGGAGGGATGTGGAGAAGAAAGAAGAAGAATTTCGTAGGAGGATAAATATGTTTTGACTAAAATGTCCTTGTTTTATTTGGTTAAAATTATGAAATTTTTCATTTCTTGGTCAATGAACGGTCTCACTAACAGTTTTCGTCAATTTGGATTTGACCTACGAATTTTTTAAAGAATTGGTATTTACGGTGGCACAAACGAAAAGTTTGGACTAAATCTGCTACTAAATGAAATATTTAGTACCTTGACTGCAATTATTCCTTTTTCCATTGGTGTGATTTTCATCAGAATTGAAGCATTTATGCTGTAGAATGGTCTGTCGGTGCATGGGACATCTTCTGTTAGTCTTCATTTTCGTAAAATTCTGTGGACTTTCGTAGTTTGACTCAGACAAACTGACTAGTGAGAATACTTTTATGGACCTAGACGAGTAGAACAATCCTAATTATACGCGCAAGGACGAGGGAATTGGATTGACTGTTTAATAATGTTGACTTATGTACAAGTACACACTTTTCTAAGTCACGTCACAACTATTTAATAGTGTTCTCTAATATTTTTTTAAAATAAGTAATTATTTCACTTTAAAAAAAAGTAAAAGTAAGTTATCAGATCATATTCAAAATAAGATATAACGTGAGATAAAAATTCATTGCGGGTTACATGTTCTTCCATAACTAATTGTAATATTTTATCATGCCCCCAACGCAATCTACCATAACCTTGATCTACCAGATTACGAGTCGTAACGGTAAATTATCACAATCATGCTACACAACTCACAGGTCGACTGAAAAAACACGATGGATTAATGAACCTTGTCTTAATTGCTTTGAATAGTTCTATTCTTCTAGCACACGTTGAGGAGGTCGTACTATTGTGTTCTTAGATTCGTCTCTCTCCAGTCTCCAATACATATTCAGTATCTATGGTCCAGAATCAATTGTTCAAATTCAAGTCTTTTGAATTGACATTCTTGATTTTGATCAATACTAAATAAAAGAACAATTATAGTTATAAATATGAAATAAATAAATAAATAAATTCAAAGCAATGGAATCTTTTTGTTTTATTTATATGTAAAAAATAAAAATTAAACAATAGGGTACAATACATCCATTTCTTCAACTTTCAGGGAAGTGTTACTTTGCAATTACCGTGCTTTAATTCTTGTTATACAATTGATTAGAAACTGATTTGTGTTCTTTGATTCAATTGTAAGTTGCTTTAATTTCTACAATCTTTCAAGAGAAACTTATGAAGTTACTTTGAAAGTCTTAATTCAGTATAACTAACCAGATTAAACGTATTTGCATTTTTCCTAAAGGGATAAAATTTCATCTCCTGTATATTGCTGAAAATGAAGTTAATGTCAAATTAGTTTAGGAGTTGAGCTACACGTACAGGAACTTGGAAGATTTTGCTACTGGCCAACAGAGTGCTGCCATGTCAGCACCCTGTTCAAAATCTGTCCAAAAAAATGGATGTATTGTGCCCTATTGTCCTCAAATCTATGTGAAATGTAACGAATGTTTCCTTGCATGTCATGTCCTAGAAATTGTATCAACTTCCTAACGTGTGCGACCAAACAATTGAAATTTAGCAGTTATGACATATAATTTATTTATGCATGAGCAAAAAGTTTATTTGACTGTATGTTAGTTGATTGGACATCGAGTCTCAGATTGTTGGTTGTTATCAAAATCCAAACAACTTCTATAATACGCCAAAATTTCATAAACATTTGAGTGTTACCAAAAATTCAATTTTCATTACATTAAAAGCGAAAACGATATAAATCAATGTATAACTTTATTTTCGTTAATAAATATCAACTAAAGCATTGAATATGAATTTCTAAAAAATTAAATATAATCAATTAACTAATTAATAAACATGTCTTTGAACAAATAAACAATCTAATAAACAAGAAGATTAAAAAAAACTTAGGGTCCGTTTGATTGGTTTAAATTCCATGGAAAATGTTACATCCGATAAATTCCAGTTTTACTTTAGCCGTTTGATACGAAAGTAAAAATGAATTTCGAATTTCAAGGTACAATCACTTTGAACTTGTTTTTCGCTAATTTCATGAAAAAATGCATTTATATGGCGTACTTCGGTTTTTATTTTCCAACTTACATGGAATTGAAAAACATTCCACATTTGTCAATCAAACGAACCCTTAGTGTTTTATTTCTTCAATTCTCTTGCCAGTTCGCATCACCATCCCGCCACAATTCTAATCGACTCGAACTAACCTGTAAAATTTTGTAAGAGTATGTATTTAAAATATCAAATAAGATACGTACAATTTTCATACACAATTATATAACAATAAAATAAACACTTCATGCCACTCTTCTCTTGTGCAGTATATCGGTGACCAAGCAACATTATAAGTGTATTTTATACACTTATTTAGGTCATTAAATTAGAGTATTTGTTAGTCATTTGGATGAGTTATAACTTATTTTGTGTTGATTATGTTTGTTAGGTTGAACTCAATACAAATTGGTGGATTTGGAAGAAAATAACGAAAAACGTGCGAAAACGAATGAAATCCAAAGTTTGGGGACCAAAGTGTAAACATTCAATAGTTTATTCGGAGCACAAAACGATGATTGAAGATCATACATAATCAATTGGATGCAATTGGAGGTCAAATGAGTGAAATATAGTTGAAGTATTTTCACAAATCAATTTCCAGCTGAAAAAAGTTATGCTATTGATTTTTATCCTCAATTTGAGACCCATTTTTCGGATAGCAAACGTTCGAAATGGAAAAATTGTATTTCTAGAAGAATTTTATCCCTTTCCAACTCATTTTGAATCAGCTCAATCGGATACCTGCAGAAAAAGTCCATGGCGCGCGCACAATACCTTGTTTTTCCCCAACCCGAGAGTCATTTCATCATTTGGTTCGACGGAGCGCGCAAGAGTTATACCGGTGCGCGTGTACGAACCTTTTCGGCCACGAATCTTTAGTTTCCTTTTGCGATTCAAACACTTTTGGAAATCAAATTGGACGCGTTTTTAACCTATGTTCTGGCTCTTATAAATAGAGAATGAGAGCTACACATAGAAAAACATCTCTTCCCTCTTCATAAAATACTATCATCAAATTCATCAAAAACAA